TATAAAACACATACAACTTTAAAAGTAACACGTCTTCAAAAATTCTATCACTTAAAAGTTCAATTGTCCTCGGAGTAACCCAAACTCTCTCAACTGTGGGCCTCTGTAAAATGAAAAATGTTACATGCTTTTTTATTTCAAGAGAGATGAACCAGGGTACTCTTAAGCAAAAATCAAAGTCCAACTACGTAGACACGTGGGATTTAGTCTTAATCTTCTGGGCTCCAAAGGGCTTAGGCAGTTCCATTTCCCTGGCTCTGCCATTCACAGCAAAAACAGCTTGTCTCGTGGACTTGGACTGGCACCACAGCACATCTGCTGCTGTCCTTAGTGATCATCCCAATTTCACAGTCCCAGCACCTCCCATCTGTACCAAAACCTGGGGGTTTCACTGCAACTGAGGCTGTACCTTCACCAATGGCCTCTCCTGGTATCTCAAGGTACAAAGCCTCAGATTCTCTCCAAGACTCCTGCATGCCTTCAAAGCCAGTAAGACATCAGAGACTTACACATTGCATTGCCAAGTTCTGTTGCCAGCTTGATGTACAACCTTGGTCCCCTCTGGATACAGCCTCTGTGTGCCCAAGGAAATACTTCCCCAATTTCATTAAATGATGCTGATCTCTTAATCACAGCTGATTTGTTTCTTTGAGACAGGTCTCCCTGTGGCCCCAGATGGCCCAGAACTATGTATACCAGGTTGGCCTCAGTTACCCAGAGATCGACTTACCTCTGTCTCCCAAGTTCTAGGATACGGCAATCACCACTAGGCCTGGGAATCACAGCTGAGTTTTCAACTCCAGCTGACAAAGAGCATTTATTGATCATCCCAGTAAAGCACAAAGGTTTCAGTTCCAAAATATTCTTTTCCTTAAAAAAATTTTTGAGTTTTGTAAATTTCATACAATTCTTAATCAAATTTAGATCCCCTCCACCCCCACCAGACCTCATGTATCTGGCCATACATGCTAAGTCCTATCCAATCACACATTTGTACCCAGATGACCTTTGGTACAAATTCATCGATTAGTCTAGTCTGCCTAACTAGAGATCGAGAGTAAGGTCTACTCTCCCTCACACATTACTAATCAGTCTCTAAAAGTTCCCAGACAAGGGCCAGTCCACCACCCATTTCCCTCACTCCACTCTGGGCCCTTGTCTGATTGAGTTGGCATGGGTCCTGTGCTAGACGCCACCATTGCCACAAATTCACATGTGCAAACTTTCAGTGGCCTGAAAGCCTCTGTTTCCCGGTGTTCATGAACCAGGACTGGCTCTTATAGTCTTTCCACGCCCTCTTCCGAAATCATCCCTAAGTTGTGGGTGGATGAGTTTTAATATAGGAGTCCTACCCAGGGTCACACACTCTGCTGTCTCTTATATTCTTTAAAACTTGGCCATTTGTGGCTTTCTGTCTGCATCACACTCTGTTGTATAAGGAAGCTTCACTGGTGAGAGTTAAGGTAAGTTTTCCCTCTACCCCACTTTCCGATGTTTCATGAACCTTAGGTATAGCAGTTCAACTGTAGATATGTCACCTATGACTGGGCATCTCTCAGATGTATATTCTCTGTGTCTAACCAGCTGTGGGATTCTGCAATAGTCTCCATCTCTTGCAAAAAGAATTTCTTTGATGAGTGGTGTATAGTATACGTGTCTGTAAATATAAGAATCCATATTTACATAAAGAAATTTTATTCATCTACAGATAGGAGATAAGGTTTTCTCCAGGATCTATGACCTCTCTGACTATGTCTATTTTACAGTGCCACCCATGAGTTCACTTCCACCGAGAGGACTTTAATTCCACTTATATAGCTGTCGTTTATCTCTTCCCTCACCCCCACCCCATAACAGTGCCAGCACTACACCAAGAGATGCAGTTTGTGCTGATCCTTATGACTTTAGGACTAAGGGAGAAAATCAATGGTCCAACCCAAAAATTTCATATATATACTTATTTATATATTTATTTATATGGGCATGTGTATAGCTGAAGGCTAACACTGTGCCAGACAGGAGAAATCTCCTTTCCAGTTGTTGGTCAGGGTAGTCCAAGAAACTCCCAAAATAACACAGGCTATTACCACAGCCCTTGATTTCCTCCCAGAACTTGAAGACACTTTGGATGAAGACAGGACATAATTCAGACATAGAATTTGGAGCAATGAAACTGGAATTGACTTGGAAGTTTCCTCCCTGAAGCCCAGTCCTCATAGTTCTAGAGAATACTATGCAAGCTGCTAAAGGAGAAAATCAATCAGTGATCCAACCCAGCTGTAAAGCCTAATAACTACAATGGCCGGCACAACAAATTATCTCTATAGGTGCAGCAGTGGCACTTTTATCTTGGGGGTAAGGTAATCAACAGCTGTCTAATTGGACTTAAAGCCCACTCAATGAGAAAAATCTCATGTGTGGTACTGTAAACATAGTCAAATACAAATTGCTGAAGAGGTCTAGATCCTAGAGAAAAACCTACATTTGTGTTTGTCCCTTCCATAGATAATTGTAATTTCTTAGTGTATGCTAAATATATATCCTTATAGAGAAGTATACCTCACCACTCATCAAATAAGTTTCTTATTACAAGAGATGGAGACTATTACAGAGTTTTACCACTGGTCAAACAGAGAATAGTGTCTATGAGATGCCCACCCCTAAGTGGTACATCTGAAGTAGGACCGTGACATGTAAGGCTCATGGAACATACCAGAATAGGGGGCAGGGAGAATATTAATTCATCTCTCAAATCTCACCAAGGAAGCTTCCTCATAAAACAGACAGTGGTTAACACAGGAAGTCAAAACTGTTTGAAATGTAGAGAATAAGAGACTGCAGAGTGTGTGTTCCTGGATAAGACTCCTATATTAAACTTCAGCAACACAGAGACCGTGGGTGGGGAGGGGGAAGAAAGACTCTTAAAAGAGTAGTGGATGATCATAAGGAAACAAATTTTCCAGGTTTCTAGGAACTTACTCATATAAACTTACCAGCATAGAACTGGGGAACTGGATAAGAAGCCCCAGTCTTACCTGAGGAACCACTGCCAGCTGATCATTGCTGGGTGAGGAAGAGTTAGTCTTTAAGTGAGTGATGCTATCTAGGCTGACCAGGCTCCAGTGGATGAACTCACACTGAGGGATATCTGGAGACACAAAGTTGACTTGATAGGCCTTAACATATATGACAGAATACATGAAATCTGCTGGGGGAGCTTTGGGGGTGCAAATAGGAAAGGGTGTCTAAATATGATTTAAGATGTACTGTATGAAATGCACAAAAATTCAATTTAAAATATATATTGAAGAAACAAAAAGCCTCATATTCGTATACTCCCTATCTTTTCTCCCACATTTCATGAATTTTTTAACACTTCTTTTACTTCTACTTAGGACACCAATCCCTTACTACACTGTTATGTAATCCTTAAAGAACAATTATCTTATAGCAATTTAAAACATGCCTTAGCTACTTTACTGTTGCTGTAATAAAATATCTTGGCAGAAGCAACGAATGAAAAATAATTTCTTAAATAGACAATTTATACAGGTTGCTGCCCTGTGCTATTAGGTCTACAAAATCTGTGTCATACTGAACATGTGTGGAGACTGTTTTTCTTATCACCCTTTTCTAAATATAACAACTCTTTCCATGGCATTTATATTGTATTAGGCATCATAGGTTATCTAGAGATGATTTAAAGTATAAGAAAGAATATGTATGAGTTATAGGCAAATATTGTACCAATTTACATAAGGGACTTAAGCATCCTGGGACTTGGGTTTAGCAAGGAGTCCTTGGGAATCAATGTCACAAGGACACCTAAGGTCAATTTCAAGTAAAGGTTACTAATCACACCTTCATTTTTCTATTGTGATCACACAGCAAATATGTATCAAGTGTCCTATAATAAAACTACAAAGAAACTTCGGCCTCCCTATGATGTCAGTATTTCACATATACATATGTATATACGTATGTGTATATACACAGTCATGGCAACAAGAGTTATAACTAAATAGCACTACAAAGTAAGGAAGTGATGTTCTAAAAATTGTCAGTTTGACCTAAGGAAATTAAGTGACAGAGATACGTGTGTTATAGTGCTAACTCAGTGAAACAAACATGCTTCTTATATCAAAGCTGTGGTAATGCCAGAAGCTCTGGTAAGTTCTCAGCTGTTTAAAATTACCCACATATAACTAAGTCACATCCCTACCTTTTCCAAGTCCAGACATCATCAGCAAATCTGGACTGATGTCAAACACTTCGAGCAGACTTCAACAAAGTATCTTGCATATCTGAGATGCATTAAGTGATATGAATGGCACCAAAACTAAGGGAAGGGTCAAAACACAAACTGGGCAGAAAATAATTTTTCAAGTCCTGGATGGACTACTAGGCTCGAAATATTAGCTCCTTCAGGTTGCTCTACTAGAAAATCCTTAATGCTCACACCCGACAAACAAGACACACACACACACACACACACACACACACACACACAAATTCATAATGAACTGGTTCCCTGCCGGAATACTGAGGGGGCTGCTCAGTTTAGGCTGGTGAGCATAAACAGAAAGCGATGGAATGACCAGCCAAGAAAGCTATACTCCCACCTAACATAAGCTGTTTCTAGAAGCCCAGCAGCTAAATGCTGTTTCCCACATATCCCTTCGATTCATACAGGGCCACGTAATTCATTTTTTACCCCTGGAATGTTGACAGTGTGACACTGCTGGCCCAAGCTAACTAAGCAGGTGAGCTTCCTTTTTCTCCCAACCTCCATCAGCCGACTCAGCTACATTAATATTTACTGGCTGGGTACCTACCATGTAACAAGGCACTATGCTAGGTGCTGGGGAAGATACAAGGACACATTTGACAGCCTGCCCTCAACAAATCTTAAGCTTATTCCACTCTTTTTCCTTTCAGTTCAGCAACTTCACAACAAAGCATAAATCTGAAATCTTTTAAAACATACTTTTACTCATAAACAAAACCAAAATTCATTTTTATTAGAAAAATGTTGAATATTTACTGCATTTAAGAAAATCCTCAAACAGTATTTTTATGGATATTTTACTTGTGAATTATATTTTTTAAGTTAACAACTTTCCAAATTGCATCAGAAACATGCAGTGACTTTTAGAAACACAAGTGTTTGAACCCCTGACAGTCTCATGGTAAGGTACATAGGCTCACACCTAAATGTAAGGGAAGCATTTGACAAATTTATGTTCATAATCAAAGGTCACAGCTGATGGGGTCTCCTCATAAACACATCACATGTCAATACAAAGTACTATGAAGCAAAGCCTCCACTAACTTATCCGCACCCCCCTCCAAATCCATAGCTTTAGGTGCATTTTTCACATGACAAACTGGCTAGTCAGACCACTAAAGAACTCTAAAATAACCAGAAAAGAAGCACAAAACAACCTATCTTTCTATTATACTCTTAGGAATTTCTAGAGTTTGTTATGTTCCTGTCACCATACGGAAAGTAAAAGCAATGGGAATAAAATGTACTGGTGAAGCTGTATTTCTATGTTAAACTAAAAGGGGCATATTGAGTGCTAAACTTTGAAGTTCATTTCTAATTGCAGTTACTTGAAATAAGTATCTTGCAAGTATCTTCTCTCACAATCACCTCTGGACTCAGATATTTCTAATCACCCTTAGGTTGCTAAAATCTAAAGCCCCTAGTCTTTGTAGAGACTTGATGAAGCTTCTTTAAAATACCAGCACAAAGGATATGGTTATCAAACTAAACACATCAACCATGTAAAATTTAGAATTACAATAAACTAATAAAGCTGTGCACACCCAAAAATGAGATCCCGAGAAGCAGGATTAGTCTCACATTGACCATTCTTATCCTGAGCATCTTCTCTTAGTTAAAAGAAAAATGAAAATCTTCACATTATGCTAGTTGGGCATTCCTAATTTTCCTTGCCAATTGCAGAAAGTATTTATTTTCAAATAAATAGTTACTCTGGATAACTCCAGTATTAATCTCTGCTGAACAATAGAGCCACTCATCCAAAAGGTATAAGAACTATTAAACTAGCACTCAGGTCTTCTTTTAACCCTTCAAGCATGTATATGACTTCCTTAATGAGAACATACCAAATTATTCTAAGCTTTAACACTTGAAGATTTTAAGGTTTGCACGCCTAGTTATTTGTTCAAAGTAAACGAAGTTACACTTTCTAAGTGTGAAGTGCAAGAGAAGTTCAGATCATCGGGAATTATGTGTTACTCTTTCTGTCACCTTCCTGACTTCAGGAAGGTTACTAAGGTGTTCTCTTGTTCAAGTTCTTTGCTGAACAGCTAAAACTAATTTTACAGACAGGTGTAGTATTAAAAAATTATCATTTAAGTTAACTAGTCCAATTATACCATTTTTTAGATAGAGAAAACTGAGTCCCTGAAAAATTTAATGAAATGGCTGAAGTCAAACTCAATCTGTACCTGTGACCTTTCTATTGGTTTGAAAAATTCATATGCACATGCATTTTTAAGAATGGCACCATCACATACCTCAGCTGTTAAAAATAAATATAATTAAACTGATTTATTTCACGTGAGGTAAATAGAACAAATGTTCATTTAAGTTATTCCTAGACAATTTTAGCCCCTTTTGGTTACTGCTGAGTATGACTACAATGTCTGGTCATGCTCTTAAGAGCAGTTAATTTGAGGATGCTCTCTATAAGGACATTTACTTCATCACTACAGAAAAGAATTTCATGTTAAAATGATCATATATTTAACCATATATATTTAACTCTAAATTACTTTATAAGCATTTAGGTTTTTTTATATTTTTACATAAAGTGAATATACACAGAATAAGCTATTATCACAACATAAATAGTTGGCAGCTTGAACATTAGTCACTTTCATACAGAAAAGAAACCTCTCCTGGGAATGACAGAAAAGGTGTTCAATCCAAACTGTAATTAATGTTTAACTGAATTTGATTAGCTACTAAACTGAGGTATGAGAAAGGACAAACTGAGAAAATCAGAATTCAAGTTTTAACTCCACCCCTTGCTGTTTAATTGGGGTAAGTCAGTAAGCGTCTGGGTTTTAGTTTCTTTACCTACAAAGAGCCAACATTTGCACTATTAACCTCACTAAGACTACTGAAGATAGTACACAAACAGATGAGAATATTTTGTAAACAGGAAAGCACACTACAAACACTATACCAGTAACTATTAAAATGTGGACCTACAGAAAATTACATTGTACATAGGCAGGTTCACTAGAATAAATTTTAGGGAGCAAACCATGCAAACATTTTCAACTTTCAATTGCAATGCTAAAAATTATACAAAGATATACAAAGGAGCATTCTGAGAGAAAGCACTGAAAGACACACATTTGGTTAACTAGAGACTTTAAAATGAGTCTGAAAGACTTTACAGCATACAAAGAGGTATTTAGTCTTCATGTGGAGAAAGCTGCTACTCACCTAAGAAAAACAAGCATTATGCGGATTTCCAAGAAAATGAAATAAAATTCTACCACTCAACATTTTGTAAACTAGATTTCAAACAAATATCCACATTAATATTTCCAGTAATCTAACATACATTAATAGATAAAAAAGAATGTCTACATCTAAGTCACAACCAATGTCAACTTGCATAAATGCAAAACATAAAATTCAGAGCTCTTATGGCTCTGCAGGCACCTGAAAGTTTAACAACCCTTCATGCCCATTTTATATTCCATAAAAATAAAGAAAATACAAGGACTATTCCAAGCATATATTGCTCACAAACTTTTATTACCTAGTTGCCTCATTCTTGTAATACTCCACTCTGGTAGCCTTGTTTTCTTTGTTTAGGCATCCCATTAACCTTTCACCTCAATGATGCCTTTCGACGTGAGTTCATTCTTATACCAAAACAAAAGGAAAAAGTAACCAAAAACAAAGGAAGATGCAAGAGATAGAATTCATTCATTAAGTATAAAAATATGTTGTTTCAAATTCAGAATAATTTAATAACTCGTCGTCATTTCATATGCATCTGGAAAGGGGACAGACACATGTCCTGATCCTGTCACAAGAGGTAGAATTCCAGCATTTGGTACAACATTCCAAGACAGCGTCAAAGTGACATTCCTGTTTCCCCTATAAAAGGTTAATAAACTGAAGTCAGAACAACTTATCATTTAACAGAAACATTCTCAGTCAAGTATGGAAAGGTCAAACACTCTCCTTATAATTAGCTATTCATGACTGATATCTTAACCTCAAAACAGAACAATTTCTCCTGTCATTGAAAATCCAGACAAAACTAGATGTCAGCATTAAATTAATAGATACCCTTAATGATCAACCTAAACTCACAGTTGCAGTTAATTATCAACCAAAAAGCTTATGTAAGTAAAACACAATGGGCATAAAATCAGACTTATGCTAGAAAACAGGAGGGAATGATCTGAAGTCTAATTCTGCCATTATCTAAATGTGAAAACTGCAGCAAATCAAAGTCAATCATGGTTGAAATTTTTTTTTTTTTTGCAAATTCAAAGCAATGCTTTGGTCAAAATAGCTCTCTTCTGAAATCCTTTCTAAATAAAAGGTCAAAATGACCTGAGATTTTAATCATTAATTCTGATTTCCTCTTTCTGTGTAAGTTCAGAAAAACTAAAAGACCCAATACTACAAACCTAAGCAGCAACCCCTGGAGCCAATACCCTGCTCTCTCATTACTGTTTCTCTGACTCAAGCTGAAAGTAGACCAGTAACTTGACAAGGGGAACCCTAGTATACAGGAGCAAATCCATGCCCCGACACACGGTGGGAGTAAAAGCTGTGGGGTTTTATTATTTTGGCTATTACATTTCACACACTGCGAGAGAAATGGTTACTTATCATAGATTTCAACTTGTATCATTTCCCAGTCTTCCAATAGAGTTCAAATATACACAAACATTTCTGCCCCCAGAAATAATAATAGTTTCCCCTCCCTTCCCACTTCCAATTCTTCTCCCTTGGTTCCTGTCCTAGGGACTGAACTAGACCCTGTGCTTCCTACTCAAGTTCTCTACCACTGAGCTAAATCCCCCAAGTTCCCCTAGTTATTTTTCTTTAAAATAAAAAAAGGTGTCATCTTTCTCTTTACATCCTATTTTTGTTTTTTAATTAAGAAGGCAATTACTCACTTGAGGCCATTTCCATCGTCAAAGAAAAAGTATTTTGTTTTCATGTCTTTCAAAAACAGCTTCGGATTATCACCTCGCAGAACAATCTTATCCCAAAGGACAACTTGGTTCAGAGCCTGCATTAAAATGAGTTAGGCAGTTCATTAGAAACAGCAACTCAACACTTCAAAGTATTAGTAAGCAAATAACTGGAAAGATGAATGATTCCAGCTCTGATGGACTTGCTGAAACCCAGAAGCACCGAAGACGACTGCAAGCATTGTAAGAACAAGGCAAACACCTCTTGGAGACAGAAGTGTTTCCCTGTTACCTGGTGCTCTCACAGCTGACAAGCTTCCATGCCTATGTGCTCTGCAAAAAGCCCACCTGGGGGAGCAGACGGTGAAGGAGGCCTGAAAGGCAAACACTATGTCTCCTTCTTTTGTGACATCTCACCGTCCATGTGAGAGGACCCTGGGTGGTTCTGGGAAAGCAGAGTGAGGAAACCTTGATTCCAAACTGCTGCCAGACTATGTCATCAAAGTTGGTAAATCTTCAAGATTTTAAATTATCAAGGAATCACTAAAGAAGCAAAGCCTTAAGATCTTTTTCCCCTTTACATTTAATAAAAAGTATATGGCAAAACTCTAGAGCTCAGGCCATCTTTTAAAGCCACTGCAATCTGAACACTGTCACAAACCAGTTCCATGTTTATTTTTATTTTGTATATATGAGTGTCCTGCCTGCATGTACATGAGAGCACCCTTATTGTGCAATGCTCACAGAGCTAGAAGAGATCCCCTGGAAATGGAGTTAAGGATGGTTGTTAGCTGCCATGTAGGTGCTGGGAAGCAAACCCAGGTCCTCTGAAAAGGCAGCCAGTGTTCTTAACTGCTGAGCCATCTCTCCAGCACCCCTCACTTCCATTTTTAAAATTGGGTGCAGGAAATGAAAATACCACATTTGTGATGCTACTAGATCTGAAAGTACGCACTCCTCTTATCTGTTAGCTTGTAAGGCTGAGGTTCACTGTGTGGTAACTATACTAACTAATGAGAGTGGGACAGTTATTTCTTCTCTCTTTTATTGAGACAGGTCTCACTATGTAGCCCTGGCTGGCCTCAAACTCATGGAGATTGCCTGTTTCTGTATCTCAAGTGCTGGGATTAAAGGAGTGTGCCACCAAGTATGGCAGAAGAGTTACTTCTTAAAGAGGGTTCAAGCCTCCATCTCATACATGCTTGTGTGCACACATACATAAAGCACTGTAGGAATGCATATATTATGGAGCCTGAGTAGGGGTAAGAGGACAACTGTGTGGAGTGCCACCTTTGCATGGGTTCCAAGGATTGAACTTAAGTGAGCAAGCCTGTGCAGTAAATGCCTTTACTCACTGAGCCATCACTCTGACCCAACCTCCATCTTAAAGCCTGTAACATTAAATGCCAATATTATGACAACTAAGGAACACAAAATCAAAGATATAGAGATTAAATGACTCTGAATGTGTATTTTTTTCACCCAAGTAATTACCTAATTCCAAATTAGCATTATCTTAATTGGTTTTACTAGGATGAACTAGAATTACAATACAGTTTACCAGTAGTCATCATAAAAGTGACACTGATTTATTAATTTGTTGAAATACACTAAATAATTTTTATATATGTGACTCTTATTTTCTAGAAAAGCTTTTTTTGCTATTTTTGAAATACATTTTGTTGATTCTGAATGTCAGAGATTCAAACTCATTTACCCCAGTGTTTCCAATGCATAACAATATACCAGACATAAAATATATGCTCCAAATAGCTGTAGTACCAAAAAATCACAATTAGTATATAAAACTGATGAACATGTTACCACCTAAAAATGAATGCAATTCAAATAAAATAGAGCTCTAACTTTAATTACAAATTATCTCCACCTGCATTGATAAAATACATAGCATTACTTTGGCAAAAACAGCAGATAAGGAGTATTCTAATTCCACATATTTCAATTCAATATTAAGCCCTTTATACTTCCAGAACTAACACTAAAACAGAACCTTCGACAATTCAACAATACTCTGTAATATGGCAAGCACATCTTTCGGGATACCTTGGTGCTGTAGTTATAGGGCACACACAGTACAAACAAGCTACTGAAAGGGAGAAACCCTTCTTAACAGAGCCATTTTTCCCTAAGTTACACAGGCCAGATAGTCTGAACATATAAAAATTTTTATTCTTGGGCCAAAGAGATGGCTTGGTGAATAAAGTCATTTGCCACCAAGTCTGACAACCCGAGTTTGAGTTCGTTCCCTGGAACCCACAAGGCAGAAGGTGAGAAGATAGAGAACAGACTCCTGCAATTTGTCTTCTGACAGGCACACACATGCACAGATACTTGTACACACACATGCACACACTACATAAGTAAATGTACAAAATGTTTTAATTGTATTCTTTCATAAGAAATGTTTAAAAAGTATTGCCATATGCTTACTTACATTATTTTTTGTTGAATATTCTGCTGATAAATAAAGAAATAACTGTTTAACATTCCAATCAAATATATTCTCTAGATGTGAGCAAATTAAGGAACATATAAATTACAAAGTAGCACACAACTTTCAAACAGACATTATTCTTAAAATACCCACAGCAACATTAAGTGGTAGTCCAGAAACAAACTGAATCACTATTTCAATAGAAATATACAAGACAAATACATTGTAAAATCTAGCCCATCCCAAAACCAAAAAGGAACCAGGAAAGGCCAGCATCCTCCCCTCCCCTGCTCACATTGTTGCCACTTTAAATAATGATGATTGGTTATGCTCCAGAGCTCCAGTGGAACAGTATGTGCTTGAAATACAAATTCACTGCCTGGAGTGGTGGCCCACGCCTTTAATCCAGCACTGGGGACGCATAGGCAGTTGGATAAGAGAGATTGATGACAGCCAACTTTGCAAAGTAAGTTCCAGGCCAGTGAGGACTACAGGGAGACTCTGTCTCAAAAAAAAAAGCAAAGAAAGACAAACTCATTCCTTAAGACTGATGTTACACAGAACTAAAATTTCAGTTTCTTCTAATTGTTTTTAATTAATAAAATATATTAGCTAATATATATATATATATAATTTAATAATGGAATCTTAGGCAAGTAAAATCAAGCCAAATGACAGAGAACACTGCCAAGCGCATACTCTGTGGCCCTAAAGACCAAGATGACAAAAATGGTGAGTTGCTGAAGAACCTCAAGAAAGGAGGAAATCCTCATCAAGTGACTCTTCACTAAGGTTTTTTCTAACTCAAACAGGCATTTTTGACAAGGGCTTTTTGAACAGAGATACAACTCATTTTTAAACATGTATTTTTTTCTATAATAAGAGGTGAATTACTTAGGACTGTTCATGAACTTTATCTAGGCAGACTGAGCTGTGGCAATATTTTTCCTTCTTTACTCAAAATAATCTGATTTTATTTTTTTCTTTCCTAGAGTCTAACTTTCATGTTTAAATTTCCACCACTTTAATGTTTCCGAGACAACTAACTCTTGAGCCCAGTTTTAAAAGTGTGAATGAGGAAATACACTATTTTTACTGATAAAAAGTAGGTACAAGGATTTTCAAGATTTGATTGACTCAACAAGATGGTCTTACTGTTCCCCAAACCTCTAAACATGCATCTCATTTCAAAACTACAGAAAAACAATGAAATATTTTCTTGAAGGATATCAGCAGTTATATCAAATGTAATGAGTCCCAGATCACTTCTTTCTCTAGGTCCAGTGAAGTCTTCAACATTTTTTCTAAAAAAATAAAATTTTACCATCCTTTATGACTTACATAAAATTTTTTGTTAAATAACAGCAAGATCTAGCTGTGTGTTTTAGTCAAATAACAGTTCCATAAAGAAATACAAGAAACGTTTAGTGTGAAAATATTCAAATTCAGCATAAAAGCGTATTCAGCCATTTTCACGTCTTAAGATATCTTTGAGAAAACCCAGGGAAGATAAAAACCATTAGAGTGAAACTGCAAATACTTTACATAAAGCAGGTAGAATGGGTGAATGAAGGTTACATATGGCTACAAGGTGATCTGAAACCGCACTTGCTGTTTACTGAGCTCTTACCATATGTCAGATCCACTATGTATTTTTCACAAATACCTCAAATAATTCTTACAACTTCTTTCCATACGTTCTCCACTTTAAACAAAAGGAAGTTAACACGCACAGGGGCACGGAAAGTGTTTCAAATCACACCAGCATTTGTTCTTCTAAGACCTCAGAGCTCAGTATTGCCAGTGATCTCTAACCTGTATCTATTTAAATCACAAACAGCATCTAACAAAATTACTATAGGAAAAATAAGATATAAAAAGTTGCAGCAGCAGCAGCAGTTGTAGAAGTGGGGGTGGTCGCTATCAGGTGATTCTGACGAAAAAAAAAAAAAAAAAAAAACTAGGGTTAAGGACAGGCCTTGGAAGATCACAGGGAGTAAATGAATATGAGAACTAAAATCTGTTAAACTGAAGAATGGGGAGAAAGACTATAAAAAAATAGGTTGAAGCGAAAAGGCAGTCATCCTGAAAGGCTATTTTTGGAGTCCTCAAAAATTTAGCTAGGGGGTTGGCTAAATAAACAATGACAAGTTTTTTTCAAACGCTGTATTCAACAGCTACTATGTTTAAACCATCCCAGCTTATCCCGCCCATCTCTCCATCCAAACTTCAAAGCAGCTGCCAAGTGTGTGCCGAAGGTGGAAAAGCAGGCGAACCCCTCAAACAGAATGTCAAAAAGGGCAGAGTCAGGGGCAGGACAGCACAGGCACCACTGAGCTGCTTCAGCCTCTGGCCCCGCAGGGATGCTGGCACCCGGTGCCGGGCCTGTGGTCCTGAGGCTGGGCCTGGCTGCCGACCCCAGGAGCACCCGCAGACGGGAGGCGCCGCGCGGGCGGGCGTGCTGTTGTGTAGCTCGCTCATTGGCCGGGGTGGGTGAGGGAAAGCAGGAACAGGAAGGAAGCGCGGCGCTGACCCCAGGGACTTCTGGAGCCAAGCGGGGAGTTGGCTAGCGGGGCTGGGTTCGGAGGCCCACTCGGGACGGGTGACAGAGCCTGCGGCTCCGGCTCCGGCCGACTCGGCCTCACTCACAGCATGATCCGCGAGACGTGCAGCCGCACCGGGACGCTGCGGTCTTTGAAGGCGGTGGTGATGAAGCAGCCGAAGGTGAGCGCCGCCATCACGCTCAGGGAGAAAGCGAACAGCGAGTTCGCCCGCGACAGCACCGTGTTCATCGCGACGGCCGTCTGTCACCAGCCCTGTCTTGGCACAGCCACCCAGGCTCCTGCTCCCGCCCAGGATTCGGTGCCTGCGACCCACGCTCCAGCCTGGGGTGCCGCCTCCTTTCCGGTCCTCTGACGCCAGCGCGCACGCGTGCACCGGGGCACACCCACCGCTCCGGAAGAAGCGCGCAGATGGGTGGGGCTTTCCGTCCGCCAATCAGCGACGGCCATGGGGCGGGGTTTGGTGGCGGAAGGACTTCCACCGGAGCACTCTACTTTCCCAAGTCCCAGGGTTCTCCTCTTGTGGTGCAGGTTGCTCTCTAGTGTTCCCGGAGCTATTTAGGGACTGAGGCTTTTGTACAATTGACTTTCGTTTTCAGTTCACTGCGGCAGTGAAGCCAAGTGGCCTTGCAGTCTGTTGCTATGTGTAATATTTGCAGAGAAAGCGCTTTTACTGGACTCGTAGCCCCTGCCCTACTTTTCCAAAGCTAGTAGAAGTTTCACTTTAGGGGAGAGAGGGAAAAAAAAAAAGAGGTCGTGGAGGTCCCTAAACAGTAGTCAGGAGCATCAGCATTCTACACCTTTGCTGTCCGCAGCCAGCTGTAGCCTAATTCCTGTTATTTTGCTTTCAGTAGATTGCTGAAGTTTTACTCAGAATATGTGAGTCCATGCCACAGTTCCAAACCCTTTGAGAATGTTGGGTAACTGAAAGTCCTTTATTCTTAGGCTCTTCAAATCAAAGGAACTGATCCCTGTGAAATTGCTATACAAAACAAAATGCATAAAAAATTTAAAGTTAACAAATAACCAATAAATAGTAGAATTACACCTTTGTTGCTTTCACAGCAAAGGATTTTTGTAATTGTGGTATTTTAAAAATGGAATTCTGAGGGTCTGAAAAGCAGGTGAAAATATCTTTTTGTGTCTATGATCCAAAACAGCTAAAGGATATTTGTTATAGAGTGTGAAATGTGTAAACTAGAAACTGATGCTATTTACACTCCTTTATGCTTTTACATTCTTTATCATTTAATTAATTTCCATGCACCGTGCAGGTGGGATTATTATTAATTGCCTAGTACATGCCAGGAACCATTCTAGGCCTTGATAATAAAGCACTAAAAAGGCAAAGCTCTGGCTCCAATGGAATATGGTTAAGAAATGAAATGTGGATTGATTATAGTTGGAGAGGCTTTAGTCATGTTAAAGCCTTATTTTTTTTTATTTTTTTTTTTTTAGTTTTCCCATCCTGGAGGGTCTTTGATTGGTGTGACAAAGTAATGACACTGAGAATTAAGGGCTCATTTCCTTTTCTGGTACAAATGCATCACAAAAGACTAAAGGGGATTCACTTTCCCCACCCCCAAGCAATTAAGCCTTCCTTGGAGTTCTGGGGTGTAGCCTTGCCTAAGCCAGGGGAGCAGGAATGCCTAGGGACACTGGGAGGTGGAGTTGAGCTGTTAAACTGCAGAGCCTTTCCAGGGAAGGGAGTGGAAGTGTAGGGTGAGAAGGAACAATTAATCCTACATTAGAGGTGCAGAATATCCTGGACAAGCAGGACAGTGGACTAGAGAGACACTGCAAGTACCCAGGGTTTACCAACTGGCATGGGCAGGTTCTGGGCCTCACACCCAACTTCTAACAAGCTCCTGGGTTGTGTGGATGCTGCTGGTCCCTTGAGCCAAAATAAGTCACATTCTATCTCCATGTGACTCTCTGGAGTCAGGAATATAGAAGGATTTCAAAGATATGGCCCAGAGAAACCCAAACCCTCAATTGTGTGACATTGGGAGCAATGACAAAAGTCCTGGATGATGGAGTTACACACTGACACAAAAAAACAACAGAGCTGTCTTAATTTTTGTCTTCTGTGTAGTCACACTTTTATTTAACAAAGCAAGGATCTAACAAATACCTACAGTGGTACACAGATGTGTATTAGTGAAATTCTACCTTCTGAATCTTATAATAAAGTTTTTAAAAGAAGGCAGAAGTCTGAATTATAAAGCAGGTGTAAATACTGAGGAGGCTGTAGTCTTATAGAGTCAAAAGGAGGAAGAGGACATTTATGTAAAGTGGAACAAAGCAGTATTTGCAAACTGTTTAAGACATTATCATATTTTTTATTATTATTGGCTAACATAGAAAAAAGATGCCCATTATTACAAATGGGGAGGTCCAGAACAATTATTCCAAAATATATTGAATAGCAAGTACAGGCACAGCTAAAAGATATGAAGTACTCTGCTCCAGTTAAACAACAGACAAGTAGAACATTAGGCAGTTGTAAAACTGGGAGGTAAGATAAGGACCTATTGTAGAAAACGTATCCATGAAGTCTGAACTTTCTATCATGGAAATTGCATATTAAACAAAAGTAGCATCTCCATACAGGCAGTCATTATGTCATATGTTGAGCAAGATGAAACAAAGAGGATGATGGCTATTGGAGAGAAAAAAGGAAGATGAAGAGGAAAGATGTCTCAGAGCCAAAATCTGTGTAACTTAGCAAATGTTTGGATAGGCATATGATCTGTAAAACAAAATTTGAATGCAGATTGTAGAAGAACAAGTGAAATTAGTATCAGTATGGCATGGTGTCTTGAACTTGGGTAACTAGAAGTTCCAAAATGGAAGTCCACAAAGGAGCAGGGTAGGAATGAAAGCGATTTCTCTCTTAATATTTTTTTTTAGTATTTCTTTTACTTCTAAACAGTTAATCATAGAATCTACATTAGTTTTATTTCTAATTACTATATCTCTTACTACTTTTACAATTTCAGTGGCAATTCTTTCTAACCTGCTGCTCCGTGAATGGAAATAAAAGACATGTTTGTCTTGTCATGATTTGGGCACAAAAATTCAATTCATTTCTCCAGTAAGTAAGATACTGGTTCTGAGATGGAAATGTGTGTGTGTGTGTGTGTGTGTGTAGATATAATATGGTATATACTAAATGCTGATATTGAGGAAATATCCTGTGGTGGTTTGAATGAGAATGTCCCCCATAGGCTCCAAGTATTTGAGTATTTTGTCCCTAGTTGGTGGCACTGGTTTGGGAGGTCTGGCCATGTTGGAGGAAGCACAGCACTTAGAAAGTTCTTAAGTCTTGCCTGATCTTGAGTTGCTCTTGCTTCCTTAGTCCAAATGACACACAACAACAAAAAAAAATTATACTTAGACTGGGGATGTAGATCAGTTTGGGCCTACTAAGCAAGAGATCTAGGGTTCAATCCCCAGCACCACCAAAAGAGAAAAGAAAAGGAAATTGTTTCTCAGTAGGATCTGCAAAGGAGAGCAGATTTCCTAAGGGTTAGATTCAAGAGCTTACCATATCCTCAGGGCCTTGCTTTTTTTTTTTTTTTTTTTTTTTTTTTTTTTTTTTTTTTTTTTTTTTTTTTTTTTCTGCTGTCTACAGTTTTCTTTTCATTCTGGACCCTTTTTATACCAAAAATAATTAGAAGTCTGTTTCTCACTTGCTTAAAGATAGAAACAAGAAGGATTTCCCGAATTCTTACTCATATTCACGAGAAGAGGGAAAAAGATAAGCTGTAGACTAAGTCCTTTCCTTCAGTCTAATAGGGCACGTAGCCATTTGGAATAAGGACAGTTTTCAGTGTTTCTAACAACTAAGTACAGCCTTGTAACTAAGTTTATACACGTAGAAGTAATTTGTGTTATTCTGGGATTTGTCTGACAGGGAGAGAGTATGTTCTTCCTTGTACTCCTTCCTTATGCTTGAAAGTGAATGTGATGGCCAAGAACCACAGCCACATACTGAAGATGGTTAGGAGATGGATGTGCATTACGTCTACACTGCCATCTCAGCCCTTGGCCTACCATATCCCTTCTCTTAAGTGAGTGAGAAATGAGTTTCTATTTTGTTCAATCTAATATTTGGGAGTAGTTTTACGACCCATATGCATCTCCAAACTAATATGCTCTCCTTTAATAATCTCCTGGGCTGAGGAATTCTATAACTGAGGGGCTTATTCAAGTCATAATTATTCTCGGGACTAAGGATGTAACTACACAGTTCCCTGATAACAGAGGTTGTATGAAGGAGTGCTAGACAAAATTAAGATGTAATTAAGAAGGGAGGAGGAGGAAAAGGTCACTAGGTAGTTGACCTGTAAGAGATTACTCTTCAATCAAAAGAAGAGTAAGGACTGGACAGCATCTACTGAAGCCTGTGTATGTTGAGTCTCTAAACAAGAAGGAACTTGGGATTAAATGTGTTCAAGAAATGAAAGTGTATTAATTCTTTTTATTTGTTGTGATTTAACACCATTATCAAGGCAGCTTATAGAAGAGAAGTTTTTTGTGCGTTACAGTTCCAGAGGGATGGGTTCATTATGACAGGGGGACATGGCAGCAAGGGGCAGGCATTGTGGTGGGAGTCGGACACTGAGAGCTCTCATCTTCAACTGTGAACACAAAGCAGAGAGAATGAACTCAAAGTGGAGTGAGCATATGAACTGTCAAAGTCCATCCCCATGGCATGCTCCTCCAAGCCTGCACCACCTAAAGGTTCTACGACCACCACCAAACAGCACCACCAACTGTGGACCAAGTGTTCAAATATTTGAGCCTGTAAGGGACATTTCTCATTCAAAAACAAAACCAGTTTGATAACTGATACTCTAAGAAATGATTCAGATGATACAGGACCCATTATTAAGGAAAATTAAACATATATATATGCTCAGAACTGCCTAAATTTAGTCGTGTTTTCCTTCAAAAATTGTAATAGTACCTGTATTAGTTACTTTTCTGTTGCTGTGAGACACTGACCCAAGCAGCTTATAGAAGGAAGAATTTGTTTAAGCTTACCATTCCAAATGAGCCATCATGACAGGGAGGCATGGTGGCAGAGGTGGCTGATGGAGAATCAGAAGCTAAGGTCTCACATTTTTTTTTTGTTCCTTTTTTAAAAAATTTTTATTTGTTATTTTTATTTTATGTGTATGCATGTATTGCCTGCATGAAGGTAAGTGCACCTGTGTCATGCAATGCCCACGGAGGTCAGAAGAGGCTGTCAAATACCCTGGGACTAGAATTGTGGACAGTCGTTAGCTGCCATGTGGGTGCTGGGATTTGAACCTGGGTCTTCTGCAAGAACTACCAGTGTTCTTAACAGCTGAGCCATCTCTACAGCCACAATCTCAAATTTTAAGCAAGCATGGGAAGCAAGAGAGTGACTGACTGGAGATCAGGCAAGGCTTAAGAACTCTCTAAGCCCAGCCCCCAGTGACTTGCTTCCTTCAGTATAGCCACAGCTTCTAAGACCTTCCAAAACAGTGCCACCAACTAGGGATGAAAATGTCCAAATGCTTGGAGCCTGTGGCAGACATTCTCCTTCAAATCACAGTACCTTATTACACTTTTAAAGTATCCTCGTTTGGATCATAAATTCTAGTCTTATACTAAAAATATATCACATGTTGTGGGATTTAGACTGCATTATAAATAAAATAGTAATTTCGTGTTAAAAATATTCGACTTTTACTGCTGACTCAATCCTTTTCTTTTAGATACTCCATTGCTTCTTTTCCTAGGTTAACCTAGAAAATTCAACAAAGGTTGTCTCCATCCACAAAAGATACAGTAAAAGCTCACATTGCAGCTAACAACAGACATTAACTCCAGTTCTGATGCCCTCTTCATATGCCCTCTTCCAACACTGCATGTGCATGGTGAACTTACATACATGCGCCCAAAGTACTCGTACACATAAATAAAAATAAATTTAAATTTTTTATTTAAAAGTTTAAAAATCTGTAGGTGATTAGATGAATATAGTTTATGATAAAAGAGCAAGATAGCATTA